GCCCTATGGTACGATGCATTGTCATCTTGGAAAATTATTTCATCACCTCCAAACATCTGTTCAATTGAAGGGATGAGAAAACAATGACAAAATGTCAATGTAAACTTGTGCATTGATAGAAGAATGAACCACAGTCATCTCCCCAGTGCCTTTGCCTGACATGCAGCCCCATATCATCAAGGACTGTGGAAATGTGGTTGTTTTCTTCAGTCCTCTTCGTAAATCTCACTGGAACGGCACCAAACTAAAGTTCAGCATCATCACCTTGTCCAATGCAGATTCTTGACTCATCACTGAAGATAACTTTCATCCAGTCATCCACAGTCCATGATTGCCTCTCCTTAGCCCACTGCAGTGTTGGTCTTTTTTTGTTTAGGTGTCAATGATGGTTTTCTTTTAACTTCCAGAGTGTATACTTGAGCAGGAAGGAACCCCATGCAGTGACATATTCCACAGGGGTAGGGGTTTCCCAGGATCTTAGCTGGGTGTGTCTCAGGAGCTATGAAAAGTGTGTGTGAAAACGAGTGCAGAGGAACCATGTGACCACCTGTTGACTGTTGAGCTTCAGATGGAGTATGTGGAGGCCTTTACATTTCAGGCATTCACTCTTTCTCTCTTCATGCACAGATGGCAGTAAGCTACAATGTAGCCACAGCTGCTCTGGAGCAGAAAGAATAAAAAATTGTGAGGGCACACAATTTATAAATAACCGTTTTTGTATACACACCTACCAAGTGAAGACTAGTAGTCTTTATGCGGACCAAAGACCAGTCCTAATTTGGTGGAACTCTATTTTTGGGTTGTGGTTAGGTTTTTCTAAGGTGTGAATCTGGTTTAGGTTTAGTGTAAGGTATGTACTGGGGGGGTTGAGTTTAATGTAAGTGGTCAGGTTTAGGCTATAGAAACAACAAGGATGAATGGAAGTCAATGAACTGTCCTAATAGGGATAGAAATGCAAACTTGTGTGTTGGTGGGTATGTGTCATTAGTCAAAATCCCTAATTTATTATTTTTTTCTTGGCTAATGAAAACTTTTTCTCCGTTTTCTTTTTTGCAGGTTCATGAAATCAGCTCCCATGTTTCTTGATCGAAACTTCAAACAGCTATCAAAAATCAGCTATTACTTGCCTCCATTTGGCATCAGAACACAAGGTAAACATGTTCGTAACTTTTTAGTGTTTTCTCCGGGGATGCTGTTCACTTGTTTTTAACCTGTGTTCAGACAGGATTGTTGTTTAGTTTTTTTTTCTTTTGAGCAAATCAGACAGATGACCGGTTCATGGAAATGTCTAAAGCAGTTTCTTAACAGAAGCCTGTTGAATACAAGAGATGACTTCATCTCTTTCTCACATCATGCATGATTGGTTGTTGTTTGAACTCCCTGTCAGCTCGACTCACTGGTTCAGCTTGGATGTGACTTGTAGTTGGCAAAAATCCGGACTTATTTTATGGTCAAATAATGACAAATAATAAAAAAACAAAGGTCCTTAATTTGAGCAAGTTTCCAAACTCAAAATGTCAGACAGCTGACAGGAGATCAGATCGGTCTAAATACACAAAAGCCCAAAACTGTTTGACTCTTGTCTGGTTAGTATAGTCTCAAGTCAAGTCAAGTCAAAAGTAGTTTATTCAGGAATATAAGGTCTTTCTGGCCCAGTTTCACAATAACATAGAAGTAATAATAATTCATTATATAGTGTAGTCTCCGAAAGAAAACAACTTTGCAATTTCATTAATTGATGGGCTTTATAGATAAGGCCAATATTAGTTTTGTCCTTATTTTTGTGAATGAGTTGACTTGTTTGACTGTTATCAAAATATCTCAACAACCACCTGACAAATGTTTAACAAAATTTACACAAAATAATCCCTGGAAGCTAGGGCTGGACGATACGGCAAAAAAAATGATCACAATCAATTTTTTCCTATCGTCCGATCTCGATTGATATCACGATTTTTTTGTTAACCTAAAAAGTGTTAAGTTAAAATAATTTAACCAATAAATAGCTACAGAAATAAAAACAAATAATCACTGTTATTTCACTTTCACTAATGTAACAAATAGCTGTGGTTCAGTAGAACATTAAATTAATTTTACAAGGTATTTCTAAATGTATTTACCAAGAAAAAAAACATTTATATTTAAATCATAGAACCTCACATTAGTAAAGTTAACCTTTTGTAAAATTAAAGTTTTAGAATTGAGTTTCACAATAAATATGTCATAAAGAAACTTAAACCCTACAAAACAGCAACAATTTGTGCACACTTGCCAACTGAATAGGATCGAAGCTCATTATTTACTTTTGTTTGGAAGGACCCCCCCTGTTTACAGAGCTTTATCAAACAACAAACAACGCTGTTTCATTTTTTTATGAAAGAATGTCTGATTCTGCACAGAACAACATGTTGGATAAACTCCCAGCTTCTGAGTGTTCAGGAGTTTACAGCGTCTCTCAGCTGCTGTTTGTGATGAGACTCGGACAGGAAGTGGTCTTCACGTCGTGTGCCGATAAAACTTACAGAAAAGTTCTTCTCCAGATAAATGAAGAACCACTGGGACATTGTTCTGTCTTAAACGTTACTCTAAGACTGCTTTGTATTTTTGGAGGACATATTTATTTTAGCGAGAAGCGCATCGTGGCCCCCCATCTCTCCCTCTCTGTGTTGGGAGGGGAGCTCAGAGCTCACCTGTTAGCACGTAGCAGGTAACAGCAGGTACAGGAGGCGACAGCAGCCAAAATACCGCAGAAACTCACCCAAATAAGCGAACTCTGTGAGATTCAGTGTTTTATTCTGGATTACTTTGGTTAAATCTGCGATTCCTTCTGCGTTTCATTAGCAACTAATAAAACAGAAGTGAGCAGGTGGATTCTGATTGGCTGTTGTCACACACATTTCCACCATGTTTGATCAACTAAGAGGCTCACAGCTGATCACCGTGATCAACCTGAATTTTTTCTCAATCAATAATCGCCCCGGCCTGCTGGAAGCACACCTACAACTCATTAGGGCCAGCTGTGGCTGAGTGGTYTGGGGAGTCGTCTTTCCAATGAGWGAGTTAGAGGTTCAATTCCACTTCTATTTAGTCACATGTCGAAGTGTMCTTGGGCAGGACCCTGAACCTCCACTGCCTCTGATGTGTGTCCCATCAGTGAATGAACTAGAACCATTTATCTAGAATAGCTTTGATTGCAGTGTAAATCTCTTTGAGTATTCTAGTTGGATAATAAGGTATTATATAAGTACAGTTTATTTACCATTAAYCTTTGGAATCAGTTCAATTCAAGATAGCTACCACAGCTAGCTAGACAGCAACATTAGCAAACACAAAACAACTCTAACAGTTTTACTCTATCCATTCAGTTAAAACTGGGATAGAATCATTGACAGCATATTTCAAGTTTTTTACTTTGCTTAAAACTTTGGTATTGGCTGTTTGACAAAATGCGTCATGAACTGGTGGATGGATTTTAATGAAGCTCTCAAAGTAAGTATTTGTTGTCAACAAATGATTAACTCTTTGTCAATTTAAATCAAGATGTTTGCTAATCATCGTAARACAATCTGGTCTAAAACGGTGAAATGAAAGTCAGCAAACGATGTTCTTTCATGAATGCTGGACCTATTATTGTTTCACGTTTTTTTTTTTTTTTTTTTGCCTTGCACAACAGGCTTTTATGTTGTCACAACCTTTTAAGTGATTACTGAATAAATACTATATTCACTGTGGGGAACTCTGTTTTCTTTGTCACTCCAACAATAACACGTGAGCCACATCGTGCTTGTTCACTGATGTTGATGCACTCGAGCAGTTCAGATATCAAACCAGTACACAGTACCATGGGAACTGGGAAGATAACAGTAATCTCTTTCACAGGTTTCCAATATTTACATGCAGAAGGCACAATGAGTGTTACCTTTGTCCTCTTGTGAGTCCTCTGCTGTCATTGTACACACACTCTAGACATCCATTGTGAAAAGAGCACTCCCTGTGTGAGTTACACCTGGTTTCTGTTTTCTCCACGGCCTGTGATGGCGGTGGCTTTCCCTTTGAATGCTACTCATGTGGAGAGATGAGACGTGTGGATCTTGAATAGAAAGTCACAAAGGCTTCCAAATTGAGAACATGGAGTAGTGCTGGTGGGCTGGAGTTCTATTTTTGCTTCTTATTTTGTCAAGGAAAAGTTTTGACACACAACATCCATAGTCTGAAAGCATTTTTGTGGAACAGTTTGTGTCTCAGAGGAAGGAGGACTATTTTTTATGTGGAATAATCAAAGTATCTCTGGCAAGACTTTTGGTTGATAAACTACAATATGCTTCCAAAATGGTGGACCACAGTACAGGCTTATTTGATCCTAGAGTTCTTGTTCAATTTTGGTAAATTTAAATCATTTACAGGTTCATTTTTATATGCACTGCCTGGCCTAAACAGGTCACCACCTGGATTTGCCACAGGACTGTGTGCCTAGAAGCAGACGTTTATAAAGATTATCAAATGGCCAAAACCTCATGGATGGAGGAAACAGAGGTTGTGCACAGAGGTGTGTGTCTGTTGTTTCTCTCTGCAGAGAGTAAGAACTAGGAGGGGGGAAATATACAAGCCTGGTTGTTACTAAAATCGTTTAAATATACATTTTCTTGACATTTGCTAGAAAAAAAATCCTTCTGTTGGCTCTTGTTGAACGTCATTTGAAGATCACTGAACTACTCTTAGTCGGGGAGCCAAAGYCTCAAAAACGGGTTGAACCGGACATGGTCTGCCATACTTGTTATTTGTGATTTTTCTATTAATTTTGACCCTAAGTAACAATAATTGGAGGGTCTGCTCTGCTGGAAATATCACGAAAAATTTTTGTGGCCATTTTAATGTATGCACCCTTTATTTTTTATCAGAAAAAAGTGAGAGGTGATTCTTTCACTCAAGTCCTAAATGGGTTGGGTAGGTGGTCAATAAATGCATTCCAGATACACAGAACACGTGCTGACAACATACATTGACAAAATAACTCTTAAAACACAATTCTACATGATTTTGGTTAAATTTAATGCCAAAAAATAGGTGTTTTTGACCTTTTTTTCAATGTTTGCATCTTTACTTCAATGGCAATCAACTATTCCCCCACATTATGACATCAGTCAATGCGTCATTATTTTCACCAAACAGGATACTCATTGTATAGAAAAATTATAAAAATCCAACTGAAATCAGTTGATCTGTGATGAAATCACTACTAGTTGGCGATCAACTGGCTCAGAAACTCAACAGAATTTAGGCTACTCTCAAAATTACTGAAAGACACTGGATAATGTGGAAATAACATGGTTGTTATGTCCACATTATTAAACATTTTAGGCCACGGCCTATGTATCTTTTTAATTTCAACAAAACCCTGTTCTCCCAAAGTAAATGTGTCACACAAGAAATACATAACAGCAAAATGAGTTTTATTATTTTAATAAAAGAACAAAATATTCAAACATAACTTAACATCTGAACCATTAACTAGGTGCAGGTCACTGTGAGGTGGGATAATCAGGAGGGGGCAACACTGCAGATACTGCTGGGGHCAAACCTTCACCCTCACCACCTGAGGAAACAGCAAACAAAACTGGGTGGGTTGTATAGAAGCTTTAAAAAA